TAAAATACAATAATAAATATATAACAACTACTAATAATATAATATACTATGCTATGCTAAAAATTTACTTTGTAACACTATATAGTAAGAAAAAGTAGTACTAAAAAATATATATTTATAAAATATATAATAAATAAACTTTTGATCTTAAAACAACTTAATAGAAGAAAACTAAATATATATATAACAACAGAATATCAAATTTGTAAAGACAAAGTAAAAAAAAACATAAACATATTTGGTATTATATAAAAAACAAAGAAATCTTTAAAAAAGAATTTAAAAAATAATTATTATGACAGTTTAAAAAGAACTAAAAAACCAAAATTCTTTTATATATGCTATATATAACACTTTTTAAAAAAAATAAAAGCAAAAGAAATAAAAATAAGTAAAGTAATAATTAAAGGCTTAATTTTAAAAAAATATAAGACAGAATTACATAAATTCTAAGTATAAAATTAAAATAACAATTTGCAAATATAGTAACAAAAACAGTCTGAAAAATATAATATAAAAAAATTAATAAATAGAAAAAAAATAGAAATAATAGATAAAATGAAGAGAGAAACCTAAAAAAAAAGATCCAAGTAAGAAAAAGAAGACAAATTAATAAGAAATAAAAAAAAAAAAAAAAAGAAAAACAAAAACAGATTAAAAAAGAAATCAAAAAAACAATATTAAAATATATTATAAATAAAGAAAATTTTTTTATTATAGATTTAAGTAGTTAAACATATAATTTATTTTTGCTTATAGTGAGATAACAGATTGCATTTAAATATTATTAAGATAGCTAGATAATGCTAAATTTAGTTGTTAAAAATATTTATATAATTACAAAAGTAATTTTAAAAATCTTAATAAAATACTAACAAGATTGCTTAAGAAAAAACATTAAATCAAAATAATAATAAAAATATGTTAGTTTAAGATTAGAGTTAATATTAAATTAAAGTTAAATATAACTTTAAAAATAGTTTTTTTTTATTTCTCTTTACTATCTTGAAGGTCCTTAGACATCTTTAGAATCTGTTACATTTTTTAAAGGCCAGAATTATCATTTTGCAAAGATCATCAAACAGCAGAAGGCTCTTATATTCATCATTATGCTTGTAAGATAGCTCATACTCTGTTAAGTTCATTATATAATGTTTTAGGTTTCTGGTTTCATGGTGTAGAACCTACTATCTTTATTCAGTCCGCAGTTCTCTAACTTCACATAACCCACCAGCTGAATTATTTTTCTATTATTTATTTCTTTATATTACTTTAAGCTGGGAAACCTTATATTAATAATATTTTTTGTTAGATTTTCCTTTTTCTGAGTACCACATAACCTTTGTGACTATGTTACATAACTTATTTATTGTTGTAGTAATCTATCTAAAAGCAGAAAGCTCCTTTTAAAGATTATTTTCAATCATGATTCTGGCACAGCTTTTATTTCTTAGTTGGACTCAAATCAGCAATCTTGCAATTGTGACCTCTGAAGCACTAACTACTGCACTATCAATCCAGAAATCTAAAAAATAGTTTTTAATCTAAAATTTTACAAAAATTTTTTTAATTAGAATATAAGAAATAGTTTTATATATAAAATTTTAAGTTATAAACAATTATTTAAAAAAGATAATACTTTGTTTTAATTTTATATTATATTTGATTTGCATTCTAATTGATCAATTAGAAGTGATAGAGGTGTGATGACCTAGTGAAGTAGATAGGTTGTCAACCTCCAAGTGGCAGGTCTAGAGTTCAAATTACAGTGACAGTGAAAATTTGCAATTCTTTTTGTGTTACGGCTAACTGTCTTCCATGATTGGTTAGGATAAGATACCTGTAACTCATGTTATACCAGCCTGACTGGAAGGTCTAGGCATTCATGCAACATTGTATGAAGGAACACAAACTAGTACTGGGTGGTGTGAACCCAAGATAAGTCCTTAGGCTGTGTAAATCATGGGAACCAGGTAGGAGAATGGAAGCCTACTTGGAAGATCTGAATAGAAAGGTAACCTGAACTTTTGACAGTGCTACTGTAAAGACTAGACCTATGAAATAAAACTAAAACTTGTGAAACCGGGCAAAGAGCTGGCCTTTGAGGAAGGGCCGAATGGAACCAACCAGGCCATCGAAATTTCCGGGTTCTGGAGGAAAAGATTACATGCCGGCAAACATGTAAACCAAAAGGTGTATGATTATGACCTGCCTTTCCAGACTATCTGGTTTGGGAGCTTGGTAGAACTTGAATTGAATACCAAAGTAGTAGGGATATGTTGTAAAGTCAGTACCAGGGTTGGGGTAAACTCTACAAGAGCATAGTGGTTTAATGGTATGCCCTGACCGCTAGTGTTGGTCTCAGCCATAGTGATACCAGGTCAGCTGTAAAAATAGGATACAGAAGATTCTGGAAGGTTTAGTACAAGGTCAAAGATTCTCCATGTGAATGAACCGATTTAAAGACTTAGTGACTATGGCATATTTAAACTGGTATTGACCAGGGCATCTTGGTAAGTGTAGGTAGATGGGTGAATATGGGAACAAAGTGGTTAAATAGAGAATTTACAAGCAGGTTCCAGGTATGGCAGCTAGTGTAGAACCTTTGGGTTGACTATTTAAATTAGACAATAACTAAAGTTGTACGAGTGGCTAGTTGTATACTCTTTCCATGGTTGCCTCTTGTAGTTGTAATGCAACCATTAGCTGAATGTACTATCAATAAAATCCTGAGTCACAAGTACTTACCTTAATATTTTTAAAAAATAAAAAAAAATAAAAAAAATCAATTAGAAGTAATAATACATTGCTATTATAATAAATTACAATGCCTTAAAAAAAATTTATTAATTATTATTTACTATAAAAATTTGCTATATAAATACTTCTTATATGTTTTTCTAAATAATATATAATTATTTTAAAAAGTTCATTATATATTTATTAACTTTAACTAAATTAAAAAAATAATTTTAATTAACTTGTGTTATTTAATAAAAAAGTATATATATAATAGAACTTTGCAAATGTTTATGCTAAGCAAATTGATACCATGTTAAGCATTAGTACCTTATGTTGTGCCCATACCTATAGGCTCAAAAGTGTCAGAAATTATTATAAGCATAAGTACAAATACCAAAAATTTTTATAAGCATAAGCCCAAATATCAGATATTATTATAAGAATAACACAATATGCTAGGCACAAGTGTCAAACAAAGTATTAAACACAATTAAATAATAAATACTAAATGTTTGTGTCTATATCCATGTCAAGTTTTTGTATCTGTGCTTATGCCTATGTCAAATTTTTGTATCAGTGTTTATGCCCATGCCAAAGCTTTCATTTTCATGCCCATGTCTGAATTTTTGTTGGGCATGGACACGAGCTCGGGTTGCAGACCCCTAACACATCCAATTAGATCACAAGATCACGTGTAACGTGAAAATTGCAAAAAAATTGAAATTGTTCTAACAAAAAAAATTCCTTGTAAAATTTTACTATATGCTATGCCCTACCTGAACCTTAACTATTGTTCTAACCCAACCCTAATGATAGTAAGTTTCGACGCATTTTTGTTTTTGTTTTGATTATAACGTTACGCGTTCTGATTGGTCGGTCATAAACCCATTTTTTCTTAATTTTATATTTTAAACATTTGAAAAGTTTTTAAATCTATTCAAAAAATGGTAAATTCCTTTGACTGGTAACATTAAATTAAATTTAAAGCTTAACTTAGAATTTGTAACGATAATTAAATAAATTCTAATAAAATTTCGTGATCTCGTGATTCCGTTATTATTCTTGTGAAATTTTAAAAGCGATACATAGCTGATTTTGTTAAGCAACTAATATCGATTAAAATTGCTTTTAATATTTTATAACGACTTTACCTAAATTTGGAATTCTGCTTCAAACTACTTATGTAGATTCGAAATTCCACAAAAGTTCTATTCCGACGTACGTACGACATATAAATTCCCAATCAGTATAAAATTTAAAATAATGCAAGATATCAGAATTTTCTGTTGGTCAAATTTAAAACATCGGACAGAACCGATATCTATCATAAAATTGTGAAACCATTTAATTACAGCGAGTCGAAATATTTATGCAGTTAAAAATGAAAAATTAGATAAGAATTTTTAAGGTTTCACACATTTAAATGATTAATTGTAATATAGTGTAGTGTATGTAGTGATGACTTGTCCCGTGACTTTTCTAGATATTTCAATTACTTCCGTTTCTTAGTACATCAATTTTTGATATATATATATTATTATTGTGAAAGACGATCGATGTGTCAATGTCTTTACGAATTGGAAATGAAAAGATTTGCTGTTATACGTAGAATTTTGATGAACGTGGCAAGGAAGATTGATATATATATATCGATATAATCGATATATACTGTACATATATATTTATACAAATATTTAGTATTATTGTCAGATCAATATCTACAATAAAGATCATAATTATTTTCCAAGAGACAAATAATTTTGCTAGTCTTATAAATTTTTTTTAACATTCTATGCAAGAAATTTGTCAAAAGAATAATAATAAATAGTGTGAGGTAACCTATTTAAGACATCAATTATATCAAGGTTTTATATAAAAGGATCATCGATACGTCTTTCATTGACAAATCTAACATTTTGCATTTTAATACATTTATTAACATTATGTTATATAAAGAAACATTTATATTATTAATTGGACTATGTGCTGTATTAACTTTTTGGCTTCGGGATGCAAAAAAGAAGGCTATAAGTTTAGCAACAGAAAATGAAAAAGGATACAATTACTTTCGGGTTAATTATTTAACTATATATTTCCTAGTAATGGGTAATGTAATGACTAATTATCGAAATAACTGATCAAATCTTGAAATATTTAAATGAACTGTTTTACTGTTTTGAATTAATTCATATAATGTTAAAAACAGCTGGTGATTGGCTTCAAGGACCATATATATATGCAGTATACAAGAGTTATGGATTTGAATTAAGCCAAATCGCAATTTTGTTTGTAACCGGATTTTTGTCAAGTGGTATATTTGGAACCATAATAGGTTCGGCTGCTGATAAATTGTAAGATACTTGTTTTATTAGATAATTGGTTTATTAGATAATGGATTTATTAGATATCACTATTAAATGTTGAAATATGATTTATTAGTGGAAGGAAGAAGTTTTGTTTGCTTTTCACGTTGCTTTATTCTTCAGCATGTTTTATCATTTTGTCCTCGAACTTTTACATTTTATTGATTGGAAGGTATGTCATAATAGCCGATCCTGTGCAAGATTATTTATATTTCATTAAGAAATAACTTTGTAATTTGATTTTAGGATTCTAGGAGGAATTAGTACATCACTTTTATTTTCGGTTTTTGAAGCCTGGATGGTCAACGAGCATTTTTCAAGAGGTATGAAGGATTAAATGAATGCAAAGTAAAGACCCATTGACTAACTTTTACCTAATTTTTCAATAGGCTTTTCATCATTATCACTTTCCGATACGTTCTCTAAGGCAACTTTTGGTAATGGTTTAGTGGCAATATTTAGTGGATTGCTTGCAAACTGGCTGGTAGAACATCACGGTGTTAGTTCACCTTTTTTAGCAGCAATTGGTTTTTTTGCGACTGCTGCCATGGTGATAATACTTACTTGGAAAGAGAATTACGGGAATACTTCCGAAAATGTACCTTGTTTCTACGTTATGATTTTTTTTTTTTTTTTAACATTAAATTGATAATTATCTTTAATGATAATTATCTTTGATTTTTTTTTTAATTTTGATAACCCTATTATTAGGTAAATACATTTCAAAGTCTTTTTCAGGCTCTGAATGTTATTATGAAAGGTAATTAATTGTCTTGACATTTTCTTCATAAGTGATTTCATTCTAACCGGTTAGTTCATTTCAAATAAGATTCTCATGTCCTTGCAATTGGAGCTGTACAATCTCTTTACGAAGCATCGATGTATATTTTTGTGTTTTTGTGGGGACCATTTTTAGAAAGTCAGCATGATATTTTGAATAATTCAGGCTTACCTTTTGGTATGATTTTCGCTAGGTATTATTCAAAAATTGAAATCTCCTTTCATATTCTGAAATTAATAATTTATTTATTTATTAATGGTTTTTTTTTTCTTATCATGTAACAAAATAGTTTTATGGTTGCCATAATGATTGGATCTTTGTTTTATGGGCATTTAAGCGGACCAATGAATATTCCTTTATCCAACATAGCGAGTGGAACATTTCTTGTCGCATCAATATCATTACTATTACCCTTGTTTATTGAAGTAAAAACAATTTTATAATTAATACTTAATTAGTCCTTAATTAGTGCTTGATTTAATACTAATTATTTTTATTCTCTTTTGTATAGAATGAATTCATTTTATTCATTTTATTTATCGTATTCGAATTGACTTGTGGTCTCTATTTTCCGTTAATTGGAACATTTCGAGCAAAAGTGATTTCTGAAGACATAAGAGCTACCGTTGGAAATTTGTTCAGAGTGCCGTTGAATTTGATAGTAGTCTATGTTTTGGTACTTAATTAAATTATAATTTACCAGTATATTAATTGTATTAATACATTAAATTTCTTATACTAACAATTTTTACTCATGCGTTTCAAAGATTTCGGATATTTCTATTCCAGAACAATGTCTTTTTTGTGGTTTCTTACTTTTCGTGGCTTTTATTTGGTCATTTTGGCTTCCAATGGTAGGATCTCTCACATTTTGTTTTGTTTTACGTTATCATAAAAAAATTTTTGTTCATCAAATAATTCAGCCTATATTACATTATTCTACAATTAATTAATTAATTAATAGGAATCAAGTTCCAAAAAATCTGCAAAAATAGTTGCCAAGATTAAAAAATCTCTTGAAAAGCAGAGAAATGATTAATATTTTTTGTATAAATATAAAATATTGGGTTTAATATATTGTGAAGTGGTTTTAATTTTTTAATAAAAATAAAATATAAATGACGGGTTTAATATAAATGAATGGATTGAACCTAAACTTTTATCTATGGATTAAATTTGTTACTCAAAGTATATACTAATTATTATTAAACCGTTATATCATTGTGAGTAGATTTGATTATATCGAAAAAGGGATAACATTATCATTACCATATGCTACCAACCAAAATGTAGAGAATTCTTTCTGACTAAAGTGAGGGTAGTGTTTAATTTTACTATTAAACCATGATAATTAAATTTTTGTATCCAAAATCGAAAACAATTTAAAGTATTAAAATATTTTAAAATATTTTAAAATATTTTAAAATATTTTAAATTACTAGAGAAAAATATTTAAATTATTATAGAAATATTTTAAATTATTATAGAAATATTTTAAATTATTATAGAAATATTTTAAATTATTATAGAAATATTTTAAATTATTAGAGAAAATATTTTAAATTATTAGAGAAAATATTTTAAATTATTAGAGAAAATATTTTAAATTATTAGAGAAAATATTTTAAATTATTATAGAAATATTTTAAATTATTATAGAAATGTTTTAAATTATTAGAGAAGTATTTTAAATTATTATAGAAATGGTTTAAATTATTTTAAATTATAGAAATATTTATTAAAAATAATTAGAATTTTTTAATTCTTACAATTTTATACAAAAAATATGTATATGTTTAGCAATGAAATCTTAATTTTAATTTTACAAACTTTGGAAATTGTCTAAGCATGACAAAAAAAAAAAAAGTTACATATATGCTATATAATTCTTTTTAATCAACAAAGTAGATTGATTACAAATATGTAATCCAATTCATAATAATAATAAAAAAAAAAAAAAATCATTTCATTATTTTCTAGGTTGAATCACATGTTTTTCATGAATTTTTTCATGTCGATGAAGATTACTAATAACTGAAAAACAACGCCCACACCCTTCAAAACTACACTTGAATGGTTTTTCACCAGTATGGGTGTACGTGTGAGTTTTTAATTGACTGGGTCGAGTAAACAATTTTTGGCAGTAATCACACTTATACTTTCTCAAAGGTGTAGTCGATGCAACTTTTGAGCTATAAACAGTTATCATTGAAGATTGTGGTAATGGAGAATGCATTACTCGTGGAGGATTATAACGCATTTGTTTAGACCTTAATGACTGAGTTGAAAAATGAAATTGATCGGTCATAGGCGAATAATCATGTGATAATGGCATGGGTGTAAAACTTTCTGCACGTGGAGGAATTCCGGCATGTTGATAATTATAATTCACGGAAAAAGGGAGGCTTTGTGGAATAAAAGTATTTATACCAGATGGTTTTACCATGGAAGGATCCGTATAGAATACAGGATCTATGGCCGATTCGTTATATCCTTTTACTGGTTTAATGAATTGTAAACCGGGGAAAGTAAAAATTAAAAATTAAAAAAATTAAATAATAACGATAAAAAAAATTAACAAATTAACGTACCGTTAGAGATGAGAGGTGATGGCGAATAAACGAGTGGCTCGGGTTCATAGTCACCATTGAGGAAGGCAGGTGGCGAAGGGGCAGGAGACTTGTGAGCCATCATTTTTCGGAGCTGAAAGATTGATTCTAATTCTTTTTGATCGTCAAAACGGGAATTTTAAATCGAATTGTTCCACTGCCGTTATAGTGACGATTTTAAACATTCGGGGTCAAAAACGTGCGAATTATATTACACTCCAAAACTCACCAAAATTTCAGATACACAATCCAATCAATCAGGTCCAAGTTGCTTTTTTTAATAAGAGAACCGACTGGTGGATGTGTAGAAAGAAAGTTGAAATACGCTAATAGTAATAAAGTGCAACGTGGGCTTCTTTTTAAGCAAAACAAAAATAATTAAGATAGGTTTTTGTACGTGTTTATATGGTTTTATGATCATGTACAGATATGCAAGTGCATTTGTTTATGCTGCGCCAACAGTTAATATATGTCATAAACTGTTGTTGTTTGTGCATAATTTTACTTAATTTGACTACGTATCACAAAGTAATCAAGCACGCGTGATTTAATTGATTAGCTGATTACGTAGTTTATAGTAAGATTACGTCAGAAAGGCAATGAATTTGCAATTGATGTTACATAAGATAATCCGAATAAATTAGTCAATATTAAGTTGGCTCGTATTCTTTTTTTGCCTTTCTGTTTGCATGCGCTAAAAAATTAAATGCCATTATTAATTTTTTCTTTTTTTGATAAATTGTTACGATTATGTGAATAATGTGAATAATTTGAATAATTTGGAATAATTTGGAATAAATAATTTTGAATAATTTGAATAAATCTTACTTGCACTCCTATGATCAACTGGGGTTCTCTGTAATGTACTTTTTTTTTTTGTACAGTAATATGGTTTTTTTTTGTTTAAATGTTCAGGAATCGTTGAAGTCCTCGGAAATCAAAGAAATATTGAATAGTATCGGTTTTTTTGTGAAATTGAATACGTAATAAAAATCAATTTTTCTAATAAATTTTTATTAGCCGATTATAAGTGCAAAAAACATATATTTATCAGAGAGAATGTTGTTTGTCGTTACTAGGTCCGTTTTTTGCGAACCCCATCAGCTGATGGATGGCATTTCTATTGATATGTTTGGGAAGATCTATAATAATCTCCATATCCGGTGATAATATAGAATTGAGATCCATATATGCGTTATATGCTTCAAGTGCCTTCTGATCAAACTTTTCGAGGAGAATCTCAAACTGGTATTCAAATTAATGAATGAACTCATTGATGCGTGTATGGTAAAATATACAATATACGACTCGATAACACATACTTCTCTAACTTTCTGTAACATCTCCTCTGTGTATTCAATATCTTCATCCTCTCCGTTCTTATTGTTTCCATCTTCCTTTACCTTCTTATTTTGTCCTTGACTTTTATCATCCATAATCTGTGAATGATCTAACTTTCTCACTGCGGTGCGGCGTTTTGAGGTTTGATTGAATTCTTTATCAATTGGTTCTTCTTTCACAATGACATTGTCATCGTTAGGAGGAAATAATTTCTTTGGTTCAAATATTTGACTTGTTACAATAACATTTAACTCTTGATTCTGAACGTGTTCTCGGTTCTCAACATATAACGAAGAAAGCCAATCGCGAACATATCTTGGTTCTGGAACTATTGACATTTGTTCCGTTTCAAGTCTCGGAGAAAGTCTCTCTACTTTAATTTTGGGTGAGGCACCAGAAGTGTCGCTTCTATCGTCTCTTTGCTTCATTATAATAACGTGTATAAACGTGTATAACGTGTATAACGTGTATGCTTGTAGGATGACTTTTAATGTTAATGTACTCATTTATCTGTTATTACACGTCGATTTTTCTTTGCGTTACAAATAATATTTGGACAAACAACACCTGTCCGGTTACACGACGACTGACCCGGATGTTACCATTGTGTTTAACAGCATATTCTACCAATTTTAGTAATCAAGTTCAAAAAAACTACCCCATAATTAATATGTACCGATATACTACCTATACGTATAAATTTTATACACTAAATGCATGACGTCTCAATCCTTAATTATCAAGCCTTAAAATTTATCACTGCTTGTAAAGATTAGTGAGTTGGCAATGGATATACTCTCTTGGAAAAATTATCATTAACGCCGATCGAGCCAATGGAACTAATAAAGACAATAGTGCCAATAGTACCACAATTAAAGTAACTTTAAAAATACGTATTTTGATAGCTATTTATTTAAAATTGATAAAAATTTAACCTACTAATATATATATATTTATTATAAAACACTTCTATATATTTAAAGTTATTTTTGAAAATACAAAATATATATGCTTATTTAAACAGTATTTGCTAATCCTTAAAACAATATAACATACTGTCTTAATACAAATTATGTTTTAGAAATATGTTTTAGTAAAAAACAATATTTTACTACACAGTTGAGTAACATACCTATTTGGTGATAATATAGAAATGCAACTATATACGTATATATATAAAAGATAAAAGTGCTTCTATAGAATTACATAATATAAAATTCTAAATATACGTGATTATAAAGAAAATATATACGTATTGATATTACGTATATATAGTAATACGTGTACGATTATTTGATTGGTTAAAGTTAACGTTAAAATTCAGAATTATCACGAGAGATCACAAAAAATTATTTTCGACAAGAATTTTCGACCGATACTAAATTATTTACAATTTTAATTGTCAAAAATCTTTTTCGCCATTTAAGTTTACGCCAAGAACAAAATATTTTCGACTCCCATGTATAGCGACGACAAAGAAAGTGAAAGCGAATATGAGGAAGAGGTTTTTCGGATTTATTCGATTTGACAATCTCTTTTTTAAGTTCTTTATCAACCTTCATAACTTGTACACCTATGTTTATATTTAAGACATCATATATTATACTCGACCTAGGAACGGAAGCTACACTTGACATGTTAACAGATAACAATAAAATAATAAAAAACTTTAATTCTAATAAATATCACTTCTCACAATGTGTTCCCGTTCGACGACAGCAGATTGATGATAACGATGATAATCAAGATGTTGATGCTACTGGGAGTGGAGGTGATGGTGAAAATGAAAAAGTAAAGGACGATGTTACATATTCCTTGATTGTAAGCTATCTATCTAACTCATTCATTTAATTCAAATCTCTAACTGAATTAATTAGCTGAAAATCTTATTCCTTGACAATTATTAAACCAAGGGGCTAAAAACGGATAATCCACGGATGCGAATTGGTAATATGTATTTTAAGGGTGAATATGATGAGTCAATTGGAACTGATCTCGTGTTTTGCCAAGAATCTGGTATTACTATTTTATTATTATTCATTGTTATTTTACGTATGTGAACATTTCACTTACAAAACTTAAAAAAAAAGACATATCAAATCCAAGACAGCAGTACCTAACGTATACTTGTCAAACGACCAAAAAGCTCATATTATCAAGAATATCATTACATCCTGTCGAATCACAAAATAATTTGGAAGAAGGTGATAAACTAGATGATTCTTTTTCTTTAAATGATATGAACTGTTGGGAGGATTTAAAATAGGGTTGAGATTCAACCCTTTTTTTCTGGAATAATAACCAAAATTCAAATATATGGCCTATTTTCGGTTAATAATATCAAACTTATGAACCGGTTAAATCTATGCTGTAAAGTATTAAATTTCGGTTCCATTTTCAATGTTGAGAGTCTAAGAGTGGCGACTAAGCAAGATTGTCAAATAAATTAATACTAGGCATCGAGAACCGATGTAATTCCGGAACATTATGATAATTTTGAGGATATGTTCTTAAAAAGTACTCTAAAGTTATCCGGGCAATTGATTTACATCAGCCAATCATACGAGTGACAGTAGATGACAAATAACAGTAAATTTTTTATCGGAGTTAACGTCACTCCTGTGCTGCGTAGCAGCACATGAGTGAAATTAACAGTATGTTGTTCAAAACAGTCACGCATGCGAACAGCCAAAAAAATTTCCAAACTATGTATTATATAATGCAATTGAGTGTTCATTACTACTTCGGACAATTACTTTATAGGCCGAAACGTCTGATTGGTTAACTTTATGAAGATCATTTGCAGATCATTTTTTACTTAATTCTTATACATTATGTAATATTAAGGTTGTATTTTTGATGCATTTTGATTATAAAATTTTTGTTAACTTATTTTTTGATACAATTCTTTAATGATTATTAAAATTAGTCAATAAAAATTATATTACATGTAGATTTTATATATTTAATAAACAATTAACCAATTAAATTTATAGAAGTTTGATAAAAAATTAACAGTTTTGTAATCAACTTAACAATTATGTTTTTTTTTTTTTTAACTTAAGCAGTTATGTTAGTACTTTATTAGAAATACAAATTACAGAGAATTTTTCTAATACTTAAGTTTAGCATTATCTAGCCACCTTATTAGTATCTAAGTGTGATCTGTTATATTATTCCAAACAAAAGTAGGCTGCTTATCTGATTGCTGCTTTATAATAAGATATAGCCATCTAATAATGTTTTCTTATAATAAAGCAAAAAAACAAAAAAAAATTATATATATAAAAAAAAAACAAAGGTATAGAGGTAAATAGTAAAAGATACAAAGCAAAAAATAAAAGAAAAAAAGAAGATAAATGAAAAAAAACATAAAACTTGCAATTTACAAAAAATTAAACAATTATAATTTTAAGTCTATATTAAACATAAAACTTACAATTTACAGATATCAAATAATTACAATTATAAGTCTATATTAGGTTTTTAAAAATTATAAACTATATTAAATAAAAATTATTTTATTTTTTTTGGATATTAAACTAGTCTTTTTTAGGCCTAGGGTTTTATTCAGTAAATTGGATATAGGGACTCGTGGTCGAAGCCTCAAAGAAGTCACCTTATATTAGAAAGTACAACTAGCCACACATACACTTTTGGTGTCTAATTTAAGTAGTCTACCAATGGTTCTACACTAGCTGCCATACCTGCAACCCAACTAAGGCATTGCCTATTTAAACCCTCTGTGCTGCAATCCTTACTGTGTTACTAGATCATCTCTGATACAGTCATCAGTCAAGAAGGTCTAGATACCTTTACCCATTTCCCTTAGGACCTTATATCTTATTTTATGCAATGTATCCTCAGAAGCATTGTTACTAGAGCCTTCCATGTCCTACATACAGTTGACCTAGTTTTATATAACATACTATAGTTACCCAATACTTGCAGTTACAGAGGTTACCTGTTTAACCACTATGTTACACTATTTCTACTCTTGTAAAGTTCACCCAAACCCCAGTACCTATCATTCCGACTTCTTCTCTTCATCCTCCTACTATCCAACTTAGAATCCGACAGACTCCCCAGACTTCCAATCCAGATAGCCCAGTATAGTATATCTTAGTATTCTTTTCTTCTGGCGATTTTAGCAGCCTGGTTGGTCATGTGCTCCTCTATACATTTTTCCATCTGGTTGCATGTCCGCCTATTCCTTATTGGGGTTTTCTGGGCTTTCATTAGTTCGATAGCACCATCGAAGGCTTGTACTATCCTTTACTCAGGAATTTTCAAGTGGGCTTCTGTCTTTTCAGTTTTTTGATCTTCTACATCTGGTGGCCTTATGTGAGTTTGCACCAAAGTCTTATGCGACACCGATTATTAACATTTCTTTATGTACATATAACATTACACTTCGCATAGATACCCTGAGCTTCCAATGATGAGTGGAACCCGATTGGTTGTATCCAAGATTACAGATACCTAAATCCAACTGATCGACAAGAAACAGTTTACTGTAACACAGATATAATTACCAAATTTCGTCATAGGTGGGATTTGAACCTTAGACCTGCTACTTGGAGGATAACAACCCAACCACTACACTAGGATCACCATCCTCTAAAAATTACTTTATTATTTTCCTATTATTTAGATTATTTAACAAAAAATTAAAAAAAAAAAATTTTAATTTTATTGTAAAGGGTTAGTATAAGATGCTAGTTAGTCTAAGAGTAGTGTTTAACAGGTTTTTAGCAGCTTAAAACATGTGTATAATTATGTTTATATTATTGTATTATTTTTTTTTTTATTTTAAGGGCAGTCTTGCCTGTATGTCTTTTTATTAGTAGTAGTATAAGATTACATATTATATACAGAGTATATTAATAAAAGTACAACTAGTCACATATATAACTTTAGTCATTATCTAATTAAGGGTTCCGCTTATAGGTTACCCACTAGATGCCATACCTGAGACCCACTTGTGAGTTTCCTATTTAAACTTTCTGATTTTCAACACTTAACTGCATATATATACAATGTATATCACTATATTTATAACAGAACAGGTTAGGGCTATCTAATTACTATTTATGTCTAAGTCCCACCTCATTGGATGTTACTAAGTATCTATAATCCTTTCAAATTTACCCTTGACATAAACTTACTAAGTATGGTACCAAGATTACCTCTTAGATTTATCTAATTTTAGTATATTCCGTATCTACTAGAACCAGTTTGGTGCCAGAAGTGTTCAAATTTCAGTAAGTCCATTCCTTTTCTATAGTTTTCTTTTATGTTTACCATATCACCTGCTAGTACACCTTCTCTTCATTTCTGGTATATTCATCACTTCTCTTGCATCGAGCGCCAACTCTCCATATTAGGAATCTTTTTTCTGGGAACTTTCTTATATACTGATCTTCTAATCACATAGACTTGGCCACAGGCCTTCATGTACATTCATATGCTTCCATAGATTACAGAGTTGCCTCCAGCTGAAATTGAACCGTTGACCTTGTCTGTGGAAGGAGGGGCACCTAGACCACTAGGCTACAGGACCTCATCCTATATATTTTTTTATCTAATATATGATATTCATTATTAATTTTAAAAAATCCTATATATTTTTTAATTGCTTGTACATCAATAAATTCTTTACAACCAAAGTGATGAAATGTATTTATTTTAAATTCAAATGTTTTTTTATCTGAAATATTAACTCATTCAATATAAGCAAGCATTACAGTTGCATTGTTATACTCATGGACAAAGTATCACAAAACTCTACCAAAAAACTGTTTAATAATAAGTCTTTTGAGTTTTCTATTTTGTTCAG